AAATAAAAAAAATGTTGATAATTTTAAATGGAAAAAATATCCTCGGGATATTATTAAAAAATATAGTAATATTAGTAAAAAGCCTCGAAATCCCGAGTTGAATTTAGGAGGAAATTTAAATTCTAATGAAATGGATATTTCAGAGGGAATAGATAGCGATCAGCCCCTTAAAACTTGTGAAATTTTAAGGACTGATGGAATAAATAGACCGGATCAATGTCCTAGGGTTAAATTGAGAATTGATTGCAGGTATATTGATATGCTATTTGACACTGGTGCGAGCATTTCTATAATGTCTTGTAAATATTTTTATAAATATTGGTCTAATGGCGTGATTATAAAGGAAAATATATGTTTAAAACAGTTCGATGGTTCTGAAGTTGAGGTTTTGGGTAAAACTCAATGGGATGTGGTTTTAATTATACTATCATAAGTTTAGATTTATGGATAGTAGGAAAAGCCGTGGAAACTATTATGGGGTGGGATTGGATTACCACAATTGGACCCTATAATAATTATTGGAATTTATTTATTATTGATAGTGAATTGGCTAGTGATAATGTTAAAAGAAAATTAATAGCGGATAATATCCGAAATGAACTTCAGAAAAAAGGGATGTCTAAATTATTGAAAGATGAAAATAGGATTGTCGTTAATAATAATTTTATTGAAACTCCCGAAAAGGTAGTGATCAGGTCTGATCATATCGAAATAAGTGGTAAAATTGATAGGGATCAATTTATGGAAATTGAAATCGATGGATTAAAAAAGATCGATCTTGCTATACCTATTTTGGTTAGAAAATATGGTATAATTTTTGAAGAAAAATTAGGACGTTTAAATGATTATCAAGTAGACGTTAAACTTAAAGAGGGTTTTTCACCCATCTTTTTGGCTTGTAGAAGAGTTCCTTTTTAGTGGAAAAGGGAAATCGATGAAGAATTAGATCAATGGGTTAGAGATGGCATCATTATTCCTGTGGAATATAGTGAGTGGACCACATCATTGGTACCTGTTAGAAATCGAATGGAAAGTTAAGGCTATGTGCTGATTTCCGTGTAACCTTAAATAGATGGGTAGTTTAGTATGTTTTAACAATGATTTAAAGATCATATTGGCAGTTGATGCATCCAACAAGGGGGTTGGAGGTGCATTGTTACATTTAATGGATGGTGTTGGAAAGACCCATCATATTTTTTTCGAGAGTTTTCAGGGAAGTGGAAACTAGATATTCGGTTATTGAACAAGAAGCCCTAGCGGTTATCTTTGGATTAACCAAATGTCGTGATTATTTGATCGGTAAAAGATTTATAATTTACACGGAAGCCGTTAATTCATTTATTTAAGAAGGATAATAAAGAGTTAATGCTATCTCCCCGGTTGCAACGTTGGTTGTTACTGGTGGGAAGTTTTAATGTGGAAATCAGATATCGCAGGGGCAAGGAAAATTGTTTGCCGGATATTTTATCTAAGTTAGGATCCAGTGAAGGGGATTTTGACGTTAACAAGGGTATAATAGTGAATGAAGAAAGGGCATTAATTTGTTCTTTATCACATATGTTAAAGGGTGGTCCTACGAATTGGGAGGATCTTAAAAGCAATACCTTAAGGGATAAGGAATTGGGTCGAGTAAAATTATTTTTGACGGGACAAGAGCCGTGGAAAAATAGTAGTAAAGTTTATAAAAAAATTGAAAAGGAATTGTCCGTAGTGGATGATTGTTTGATGCGGGGTAATAGAGCCGTAATTCCGTTGAAATTACGGAGTAAAATTGTACGATTGTTGCATGCAGGACATCAAGGTCGAGATAAAATGAAATCTTGGGCTCGTGAGTATGTATGGTGGCCTGGAATGAGCAATGATATTGAAAAAATTGCTAGGAGTTGTATTCCATGTAATTCGTGTGCCGCTATGCCCCGGAAGGAAATAGGCAGTTATTGGCCGATATCTGAAAAGGCGTGGGAGCGTATTCACTTTGATTTCTTTGACTTAAACAAGAAGTCGTATTTTTTAGTTGTTGATGCATATTCTAAGTTGATGAGGTTCATGGATTAACCACTAGGATTGTTATCAAAGTGTTACAAAGGTTATGGGCTAGATTCGGGATTCCAAAGACAATTGTGTCTGATGGAGGTCCGGCCTTTGTAAGTGAAAGTTTCAGAGATTTTTGTAATGCGTTGAAAATTAAACACGTATTAGCTCCACCATATCATCCCAGTTCCAATGGACAGGCGGAGAGAATGGTAGCTATCGTGAAAAATTAGATTAAAAAGGCCAAACAAGAAAATAATGATGTTTGGATGGCCCATTTGTATTATAATAATTCCAGAAACCGGGAGGGAATTACGCCGGTGGAGTTATTTTTGGAAGGACTAGAATGCCGTTGGATTTCTTAAAATCCAAAGATGGGGCTGGTGTACGATTGATAAGATTGAAATAAAATATCCTGTGGGGAGAATTATATGGGCCCGTTTGTTTCATAACAAAGGGAAGAAATGGGAAAAAGGTCGTATAGTAGAAAACCTTGGTTCCAAATTAAATGAAATTTTGCTAATAAATGGAATTACGGTAATCAGACATAATAATCACGTAAGGTTAGGAGAAAGTAAGAAAGGATAAAGATAATATGATGCTTAAATATTAATCTTATCTTATTTTTCCCAGAATCTTAGATTTTTGTGATAATATAGCATAATATGTGAAATATGAATAATGAATGATTCTTTTGGGATACTCTGATAACGATACTTGCGTAGTATTGGGGGTAAGATACTGTAATAAAGATAGAGGTAGGCTTATTTGTGATTAAGTGCTAATGGAATTCATTAAAGGATGCTTAATTGAAACATTGAAAAGCCTGGAAAATAAAAGGAGTTTTATATTTCGGAGGGAGAACTCAACATCCTATAATTATACGGGATTATAATTGAGTCTCGGGGTTATTGAAGGGCAAAGGCGAATTTTTTTGTGTGTTTTCCCTTGAAGGAAGAGATTCCTTTGGTTATTTAATTAATCACGTAATTGATAAAATTAGTGGAGTACAAGACAAAATTATATAAATTAGTTGAACACTGAACAACTGGGGGTGTTTTGGTAATTTATGCTTTCGGAAAGATGGTAATAAAGTCCATCGGAGGAAAGTATTTTATTAAATTATTGATGGTTTAAAATACTCGAGTATTTTAATCATAGAGCAATGTGAATATAGTAAGTAATTAAATGGTATAATGAAGGGATCGTTTATGATTATATTATACACCGAGCAGTTGTTTTTTTTCAAGGAAAGAAAAGAAAAAGTAAAAAAAAAAGAATGTAAATTTTTGTGATGAATGGTCAGTGGAATAAGAAAAAGAAAGTTAGGTTTTTTGTTTTCACGGACGGTTCACTTTGATGTTGCTATGGTTATAGAAAGAAAACTTCAAATTGTTGTTAGACAATAAAAAGACTATAAACTTTGACCTTATGGTTGAACTAAGACTATAAACTTTGACCTTGTGGTTGAACTAATGGGATTCACAAAAGTGAGAAGACAATTCTAGGTAAAAAATTTCGGTCTTTTCAATTGATGTTATGGAGGGCAATCGTTATTCAGATCAAGCCAACGATTATCTGATGACTATAGTTATTTAAATCAAGCCAACGATTAAATGCTGACTATCGTTATTCAAATCAAGCCCACAATAGCCAGACGATTATCGGTACAACTAGTAATCAAGCTCAAGAGTATATAAATATGGAGTAAAAGTAGACAAATGGATATCCGTATTTTTCCCTATGACTATGATATAAGAAAAAATTCTCTTATCATGACAACATAATTAGTAATATAATATTTTTCAAAATATATATGAAATATTATATTTAATGGTGAGGAATGTCATTGACCCATAAAGGGGTGACATGTCCTAGTATGTTATATTAAAAAATGTATATTCTCATTAAACGTCAATCAGATGGATTGTATACATCTGATTGGAGGAAAAAATTATTTATTATTTAATGTAAAAAAAATAATAATTGGATAATATATATTTTTTTTGAGAATACATTTTTTTTTATGGATTTTGATTCATTCTTTTTTTTGTTATGGATTTGGATTATTCTTTTCTTTTGGATGATGGAAATAAAAGTTTTGAAATTTGAAAAAAAAGAAATTATTTTATGAATTAAAGTATACATCTAAATATTTATTTATTGGACTATTAAAATAAATTATATATTCTTTATACGATACTTGTTACTATACCTCTACCTCAAAAGTTAGGAAGATCATGTTAAAACATTTTGAAAATATACTTGAAAGATAAATAGGCATGATAGATGCAGATTAATATAAAACTGCGAACACCTGAAGAAATCATATAAGAATATTATAGTAACTGTAAAAACAATAGTAAACTTATAAATAGAAAAATTAGTATAAATAACATTGTGAAATTCATGATGAAAGTATATTATCTTAGGAAATTTTAATAGCTAAATAAAACAATGATAATATTATAAACATACCTAATATAACACATAATGTAAGTGGATGAAATTCACGCAGATAACATTTTGAAAATAGTTGAATCCAATTCATATTATAAAAAAAAGTAAAAGAACTTTGAAATCTTAATTCAATTAAAGATGAAAAGATTTAAATTTAAAAATTCCTAGAAATTAACATTACCTTACTTTTATTATATTACTACATTATATTAACTAATAAGTTTTTTTAATACTTTGGTTTTAAATTTTTATTATTAACTTATTAAACATATTGTTAAATTGAACTTCATAAAGTATATATAGATATAAAAATAGTGTGATAAACATTTTAAAAAAATATTTAATAATGAAATATATAATTTATTTTCTCTATACCCTGACTACTTTAATATTAATATTATTCTGGTAAAATTTTAAATAAAAATCAGTTTCTATTAATTCACAAATTTAAGGTATATTTTCAATAATATTTATTGTCTTTAGTTACAATAATAAATAAAAAATATTACTTTTTGGAAGTAAGATGTTATTGTCTTTTTTTGCAACTGGGTTTCAACTCCATTTGTGATATTATATGAAATATCACAATTTAAGGATACCCAATTATTATTATCTTTTTTGATGGCTATATTTGTAAATTTCATATCAGTTGGTTTGACATGAGGATGTTTATGTTTATAATGTTCATGTATCTTGTCACTTCTTATTTTAGAAGTTTTGCAGTTAAGGTAATTACATTTTACCTTAAATAAAGTCCTGTTACTTTGCATCTAGAAAGAAATAATTATTATAATATAATTTTTTACATATGTTTTTTATTATTCTTTGCTAGCTGATATATGTTTTTAAGCATGACTCAAAAAATTACCTAAAATTTATCCTGCTAAAATCTATAAATTTATTAAAAAACATAATATAAATATATTAACCTCTAAGAAAAGTACCAAATAGAAAATGTGTAAATAATATTAACTTGATAAAATGGTAAATGAAAATGGTTGACAAAGAAAGTTTATATTATTTATTAATTGATATCTTTACTTTAATTGACATTTGTTAAGAAAATCAACGATAACCATCATAATCGTATCAATTAATGGATTTAAAAAGATTATAATGCAAATAAAAATTACCCACAAAAATCAATACCTACCCCCAAAAAATCAATATCAACCCCCCAAAATCAATACCTACCCCCAAAAATGCCAACATATTTTGGAGGCATTTGTCTCCTACCCCCCCCCCCTCCCGGCCATGTAGACGCTGACCATGTCACACACAAGTGACGGGCAACAATAATTTTAAAAAATATAAATCTCAATATATATATATAATGGTTAGTTAATTTAAATACATTAATATAAAATTATTTACAAAATAAATTGATATAACAAAAATGAAAAAATTACTTTTAGCTCGAAGGTTGTATAAAACGAATTAAAGTTTAGATTTTTTTTTGAAAAAAAATTTAATTTAAATCAACACTTATAATAATTATTTAGTTTAGAATACCTCCTTAAATAATATAGAGTAAAATAAAAATTAAAAAGAAAAACTTCTTTTTTTTAAAAAAATTATTCGACTTTTTTATTATTTTTAAAAAATAAAATTATAAAATAAATTATATAATTTACAGAGGATTAAAAAATATATATTAAAATGGATACTATAAAAAAGAATATATATATTTTAAAAAAAAGGTGGGTATATATCATCCAAGAGAAGAATGAATGCTTAAAAAATTAGACCAGCAAATTTCCAGGGAAATCTGCTGGCGAAGATAAAATCCTTCATTGGGGTCCCCTGAGATCTGTCTCATTTTTTTTCCTATGATTTTGATGAAATTGAGGCCCTGGGCCTCGTTTCCAAACATGCCTAGAAATATTTATATATCCACATACTGAAAGAAAAAGAAAAAGAAAAATATAACTAAAGTTTTTTTGAATAAGGTAAAATAAATGACGAGATAAAAAAAACTAATAACGATTCTCTAGCACTAAAATGTTTTTGAATATAGTAAAATAAATGATAAAATATAAAATAAGAAATTAATAATGATGCTTTAATATTTATTAAACATTATTGTTACATCTGTTTAAAATTTACATTTATGGACGTTTTTCAATATAATTTTTGAGAGGAATATAAGTTGTATATATATATGTTCCTTTGTTTAAGAAAAAACAAAGTTTATTATATGTATAAATGTTTTAAAAATATATTCGTTGTTATTAATATATTACGTTCGTGACAATTATAATTTATTTAATATTCAAATGAATTGTGAGATGAATAACCTTTATATTTTATTACCTTAAGAATTAATTTTATCATTCTAATTTTATTGTAAATTTATATTTTTACTTTTATATTTTATTTAATAAATCCAAAGTAAATAATCAACTCCCCTGCTTATCTTAATATTTTTATAAAGGCAATTGTCTCTATTGAAAAAATTAATTATATAAGGTTTTAATGAAAAAATAATCGTTATTTTCATCTATATGTAAAGAAAATATTTTAGCTGCCATATAAATATTTTATATGTCCATTTATTTTTCCAAATATTTTAGGAATAATTTAACTTATTACATATGGTAAAAGTTTTCTATCCAAACATATGCAGACAAAATTTTTTCATTTTTTCTTCTATATATTATTATTTTTTATTTTCATTTTGATCTTATCATATTTTAAAAGGAAGTATGAGCCTATTTATTATGATAACTATGTTAAAACATGTGCAATTAATACATACTTGAGGATCGATTGTCACCCAGAACCTGGAGTTTCAGCTGAAAAATGTAATAAGCGAGAGTGTTGTTGGTCTTCAAATATAATCAATTCAAAAGATAATTTAACACATCAAAATAAAATCGATTTTTTGAATGTTCCATATTGTTTTTATCCTCCAAACTTTAACTCTTATTACAACATAAAGAACTATTCAATATATGAAAAAATTATAGAAATTTACCTAGAAAAAATATATGATTCTCCTTATTCTCAAAACATTAATCTTATAAAGCTAACCATAGAATTTGGAAATGAAAATACATATAGATTCAAATTTAAAGATATGAAAAATGTAAGGTTTGAAGTTCCAATAACCTATTCATATAAATCTCAAAATATGTACAAAACAAATCTAAAAATAGAAATAATACCCAGATCTTTAAAAATAAGAATTAAAAGGAATTCCACCAATTTTATGATGTATTTAATTTTTAACAATTCATTATTTTTTAATCAATTTATTAGATTTGAAATAGATCTCTCTACACTGATTTATTCAGATCAACTTATTCAATTAACTTTATTAATGAATTCTTCACTTATTTATGGATTAGGAGAACAGCAAGCCAATCTTTTAAGAAACAATAAATGGAATAAGATAACATTGTTTTCAAGTGATCAGGCTCCTGAAGTTTGAATTACTGTTTATTTGTATATACCATGTTTAACAAATAATCCATAATTTGCTTTATTAATTTTGATATAAAAGGAACAAAAAAATTTATATGGAGTGCAACCCTTTTACATGGTAATGGAAAATGATGGTTATAGTCATGGAATAATGTTTTTAAATAGCAATGCTATGGGTTAATCAATATCTATATTTTATTGAGCATGACTAAAATTGACATGTCTAGAAACTATATATCCTTATGTATCCCTTATATAAAATAGTAAATTAGTGAAATATTAAAATAATACATTTTTTTATGACTAAAATACACAACTATACGGGAATGACTAAAATACGAGTCCCTAAAAACTACGCGTCCCTACGCGTCCCCGGTCAAAACGATTTATTTTTATTAATATTAATAGGAAATCTTATTAAGCTTTATAAGATGAGTTAGAAAATGTTTTTTTTAATTTAAAAAAAATACGGTAACTATATAAAATTTACAAAAATTTATTTTTTTAAAAAATAAACTACGCGTCCCCGGTCAAAATACAGTTTTTTTTAAAAAATCAAAACGGATTCATATTTAGCTTATTAAAAGAATACAGAATATGTAAATATTATATTTTAAACATTTTATAACTTAGTGATTTTTTCAAAAAACACTTTTTTTTTCAAAAACACTACGCGTCCCCGGTCAAAAAACCTTTTTTTTAAAAAAATAATAGCAGATTCATGTTTAACTTTTTAAGGAGATTCAGAAAATGGTATTAATAATAAAAAAATTTTAAAAAAAATATTTTCCAAAAAAATTTTTTTTTGGCTAAACTACGCGTCCCCGGTCAAAATACAGTTTTTTTAAAAAAATCAAAACGGATTCATATTTAGCTCATTAAAAGAATACAGAATATGTAAATATTATATATTAAACTATTTTATAACTTAGTGATTTTTTCAAAAAACACTTTTTTTTTTCAAAAACACTACGCGTCCCCGGTCAAAAAACCGTTTTTTTTAAAAAATAAAAGCAGATTCATGTTTAGCTTTTTAAGGAGATTCAGAAAATGGTATTAATAAAAAAAAAATTTAAAAAGAAATTTTTTCCAAAAAAATTTTTTTTGGCTAAACTACGCGTCCCCGGTCAAAATACACTTTTTTTAAAAAAATCAAAACGGATTCATATTTAGCTCATTAAAAGAATACAGAATATGTAAATATTTTATTTTAAACTATTTTATAACTTAGTGATTTTTTCAAAAAACACTTTTTTTTTTCAAAAACACTACGCGTCCCCGGTCAAAAAACCGTTTTTTTTAAAAAATAAAAGCAGATTCATGTTTAGCTTTTCAAGGAGATTCAGAATAATTTTGGTAGTTGAGAATTCAAATAAAATATTTAAAAAAGCCAATGTCTAGCCTATTTTTAAAATTAAAAAATTTTCAAGGATATCTATTTTAAATTTTACCCAAGTTGATTTCTATCATAAATGTAAATTATGATATTTCTAATACCCTTACATTGCAACATTTTTACCTCTTTTTCTCCTAAATATTAATATTTTTATGAAATATATTAATAAAGCATATTTAGTATCGTATACACCTAACTAATTAGTAATTACCCATCAACCTCGTCATTCTGATTAAATTAAATTAATTTTATAAAAAAAAATTTTAATATATATATATACAAATATATCAAAATATAAAATTTTAATATATATATATACAATATATCAAAATATAAAATTGACGGGGGGCTCAATGGTTAGAACGTATGCCTTCCGAACGATAAGTTGCGAGTTCGAATACCGTGTTGCCATAAAAAATTTAAAAAAAAAATTTTTAACATTAGCGTGATAATAATAGCTCTCGATTTATTTAACATTAAGATGATAGGAAAGTTGATAGAAAAAAAAAATTTTAACATTAGGAGATAGGAAAGTGAAATTAGTTGATAGAAAAAAAATACGAAAACGTTCATTTCTTGATTACATTTATAGATAGATAGATATATATCATATTAAATCAATGTGTTAAAAAGCTAAAAAATCAAACAAAGTTGAGGGTTCTAAATCTGATTGATGAATTAGAAAATATTATAATTATTAATTTATTTTTCATTTATGTTAGTAATAAGTTTTTTAAAATAACTTTCTACATTAATAGTTAAAATTTATCATTTTATATGTTTTGTATATGGGAGACTGGGGTTAGGACCCCGGGCTTGGCAAACCACTTAATCTCATTTCAAAATTAAATATCCTAATATAGTTTTTATTAGTTTACATCTATAGACAAAAAATCTTTTGAAATATTTAATTTATTAAAGATTTTATTTAAGAAATAAAATTTTGATGAAATTTTCAAAAAATTTTTACATGACAAAATTTTAATTTTTATTAAAATATATAATCATTTATATCTAAATTAAATTTTATAGTTAATTTTAAACACTCTTCTATAATTTGGAAAAGTTCAATGTGTATTTATTATATCTAGATAATATTTCAATCATAATTTGTCAATAATAAAATACCATTTATATTACATATTATTATATACAATCGTAATAGGTAAAAAAATGTAAATATTCGTTTGTTGTAAAATAATGTGGGTGTTTCAATCACGGTAGTCTTTATAGAATGTTGTTTCCGACGTATCACGATTTAGTTTTCTAATTTCAATCATTGACCAAACTATAATATGATGTTGTTTTCATCTTCGATATCTATTTATAGTTTATATAATAATATAATATATTTATTTTTATATGCCTTTTTACCTTCAATAATTATAGATTTCAAATTATAGGACTTTAATAATTGGTAATATTTAAACTTAAAAATAACTATTTATATTGTTATTACAAAAAAATAATTGGATGCATTGTTCTAACTGTACAAACTTTCTCTAATATTAGCTAAACAATATTACATTATTTATACTATATTAATGATTTGTCCCGCTATTGCTTTTGGTCTTATATTTAATATATTTTATAGTTATAATATTATGGTTTTAGCCATAAAAATATAAAAATTAATTTTCATATTTTTATGGCTAAAACCATAATATTATAACTATAAAATATATTAATATAGTATAAATAATGTAATATTGTTTAGCTAATATTAGAGAAAGTTTGTACAGTTAGAACAATGCATCCAATTATTTTTTTGTAATAACAATATAAATAGTTATTTTTAAGTTTAAATATTACCAATTATTAAAGTCCTATAATTTGAAATCTATAATTATTGAAGGTAAAAAGGCATATAAAAATAAATATATTATATTATTATATAAACTATAAATAGATATCGAAGATGAAAACAACATCATATTTTAGTTTGGTCAATGATTGAAATTGGAAAACTAAATCGTAATACGTCGGAAACAACATTCTATAAAGACTACCGTGATTGAAACACCCACATTATTTTACAACAAACGAATATTTACATTTTTTTACCTATTACGATTGTATATAATAATATGTAATATAAATGGTATTTTATTATTGACAAATTATGATTGAAATATTATCTAGATATAATAAATACACATTGAACTTTTCCAAATTATAGAAGAGTGTTTAAAATTAACTATAAAATTTAATTTAATAAATGATTATATATTTTAATAAAAATTAAAATTTTGTCATGTAAAAATTTTTTGAAAATTTCATCAAAATTTTATTTCTTAAATAAAATCTTTAATAAATTAAATATTTCAAAAGATTTTTTGTCTATAGATGTAAACTAATAAAAACTATATTAGGATATTTAATTTTGAAATGAGATTAAGTGGTTGGCCAAGCCCGGGGTCCTAACCCCAGTCTCCCATATACAAAACATATAAAATGATAAATTTTAACTATTAATGTAGAAAGTTATTTTAAAAAACTTATTACTAACATAAATGAAAAATAAATTAATAATTATAATATTTTCTAATTCATCAATCAGATTTAGAACCCTCAACTTTGTTTGATTTTTTAGCTTTTTAACACATTGATTTAATATGATATATATCTATCTATCTATAAATGTAATCAAGAAATGAACGTTTTCGTATTTTTTTCCTATCAACTAATTTCACTTTCCTATCTCCTAATGTTAAAATTTTTTTTTTCTATCAACTTTCCTATCATCTTAATGTTAAATAAATCGAGAGCTATTATTATCACGCTTCTTAAATAAAATCTTTAATAAATTAAATATTTCAAAAGATTTTTTGTCTATAGATGTAAACTAATAAAAACTATATTAGGATATTTAATTTTGAAATGAGATTAAGTGGTTTGCCAAGCCCGGGGTCCTAACCCCAGTCTCCCATATACAAAACATATAAAATGATAAATTTTAACTATTAATGTAGAAAGTTATTTTAAAAAACTTATTACTAACATAAATGAAAAATAAATTAATAATTATAATATTTTCTAATTCATCAATCAGATTTAGAACCCTCAACTTTGTTTGATTTTTTAGCTTTTTAACACATTGATTTAATATGATATATATCTATCTATCTATAAATGTAATCAAGAAATGAACGTTTTCGTATTTTTTTTCTATCAACTAATTTCACTTTCCTATCTCCTAATGTTAAAATTTTTTTTTTCTATCAACTTTCCTATCATCTTAATGTTAAATAAATCGAGAGCTATTATTATCACGCTAATGTTAAAAATTTTTTTTTTAAATTTTTTATGGCAACACGGTATTCGAACTCGCAACTTATCGTTCGGAAGGCATACGTTCTAACCATTGAGCCCCCCGTCAATTTTATATTTTGATATATTGTATATATATATATTAAAATTTTATATTTTGATATATTTGTATATATATATATTAAAATTTTTTTTTATAAAATTAATTTAATTTAATCAGAATGACGAGGTTGATGGGTAATTACCAATTAGTTAGGTGTATACGATACTAAATATGCTTTATTAATATATTTCATAAAAATATTAATATTTAGGAGAAAAAGAGGTAAAAATGTTGCAATGTAAGGGTATTAGAAATATCATAATTTACATTTATGATAGAAATCAACTTGGGTAAAATTTAAAATAGATATCCTTGAAAATTTTTTAATTTTAAATATGGGCTAGACATTGGCTTTTTTAAATATTTTATTTGAATTCTCAACTACCAAAATTATTCTGAATCTCCTT